AAGGGTCCCCACTCTTGAAGGCATTTTCCCCCACTTTCCTCCCACCCGTGGGATAATGTCTGAGTTCAAAGTACAAGAGTAGTTTGCACACAAATAGTGAAAGAAAGAAGAGAACATGGAGCATTGCTTCTCCCTGTTGACACCAACAGAAGCAAACTGTTACAGCCTTTTCTAGTATATGTGTGTATCCTCATTTATAAGTTTTGCTATCTTGACAACATTCTGATGTTGCTTGGCCACACATGTTCTGGTTTTCATCCCTGAAATGTTGGAGGGTATGAATCTCATTAGTTCAGTTATGTTCTTGTTAAGCTGTTTATCTCCATATCTGACAAGGTTCTTCTTCATGTACTTCTTCCACTAGAAATATAAAGAACATCTACAAGGGAGAACTGTATTTTTAGCTGTCATTCCTATTATGGAATGATTTTTTCCAAAGAGGTTGCTTGGTGTCACCAACAAGTGGATGTCTTATCACATGCATCAATAGGAGTATAGTGTCTAGATCCAGGGAAGTCATGTTACCCCTCTATTCTGCCTTGGTTAGACCACACCTGGAATATTGTGTCCAATTCTGGACACCACAATTGAAGAGAGATATTGACAACCTGGAATGTGTCCAGAGGAGGGCGACTAAAATGATCAAGGCTCTGGAGAACAAGCCCTTTGAGGAGCAGCTTAAAGAGTTGGGCATGTTTAGCCTGAAGAAGAGAAGGCTGAGAGGAGACAGGATGGCCATGTATAAATACACGAGAGGAAGTCATAGGGAGGAGGGAGCAAACTTATTTTCTGTTGCTCTGGAGTCTAGGACGCGGAACAGGGGCTTCAAACTACAAGAAAGGAGATTCCATCTGAACTTTCTGACTGTGAGAGCTGTTCAGCAGTGGAACTCTGCCCCAGAGTATGGTGGAGGCTCCTTCTTTGGAAGCTTTTAAACAGAGGCTGGATGGCCATCTGTCAGGGGTGCTTTGAATGCAATTTTCCTGCTTCTTGGCAGGGGGTTGGACTGGATGGCCCTTGAGGTCTCTTCCAACTCTATGATTCCACTATTCTAAGGAAATATTTCCATATGAAATCTCTCTGTGTAAGGCTTCTGCTCAAATAGTCAATATGTTAAAGTTGGGGATAGGGAGAAATGCTTGATTGTGATTCTTCTCCACATCTTTCTGCCTTCACAGCTAGAAAACGATAGAAAAGGGGCTAAAGAAATGAGTCGTGATATCCCTAGCTTTGGCAGAATACGTTTTCGGCTTACAGGTCATCCCTTATGTAATCAAATGCTAAGACAAATTCTTGAGTTCTTATTCCAGAACAAAAGGAGAATTATCACTTACACCTAGGATGAAAGACTAGAAAGAAATGCAGACTAAACTACTTCTTGATGCTTTCAATGCCAGACATGCCAGAGTCTCCAGAAATCCTCAGAAAGCCAGTATGCACTGAAGATCTGCTGAATCATTAGATCTCTTGGGAAATTTCAGCACAGGAACATACTGGAGCCATGTTTGGCAGGCTTCCCTCTCTATCATAGGCCAACAGTGTGCTGGGAAAGATTCTAACCAGATGGATTCCCAAGACTTTTTTTGGATAAGGGCTGTTTCAAATGAACCCACTTCCTAGGTTTTCTATATTTAAAAATTAAAAGCATTTCATATCAGTGGTTTTAGCATAAGAGCCGGTTGTTTCACCCAACCGTGAATACATTAGTGCATGAGGGCAGGAAATAACAATTCAACACACTGAGAAAAAAACACATAATCTCTTAAACAAGGTTTATATTTCTTGTTCAACTTTTCCGCCCTGTCTCCACTTTTTAACTTTATAAACAACAAAGTTAAGGCATCTTAAAGGCTGAAACATTTTTATGGCATAACTTTTCAAGGGCTACAGCCACATTATCCAAAGTGTATTCCTCAGTTTTCAATGGGACAAAAAGTCAAGTCGCCTCTATTCATTTCAATGTGGTTTGAAAAGTAGGAATACCACAGAAGCAAACTGGGATTTATTCTGAATTATGTTTTGTGCATTTCCGCTTCAATGTGCATTTTCAAAGAATCACTACTGAAATATTTGGGGAATATACATCTGTACCCAGATCTCAGTCTTACTACAGTTAGTGCCAAGGTCAGCGGCCAGATTACTAATTGGAGTTGTTTATAGGGATCATACCATGCCCTTATTAAAGCAGTTCCACTGGCTGCTGATGAGTTTCCAGGCCCAATTGAAAGTGCAGGTTATTACCTATAAAGTCCTACATGCTTTGGGTCTAACCTATCTTCAAGACCGCATCTCCTTTTATGAACTGGCACAGGTACTAAGATCTACTGGGGAGGCCCTCCTCTCAGTCCCGCCTCCTTCTCAAGTCTTCTTGGTGGTGGCCCCCCTGGCTTTGGGATGCCTTCCTGAGATCAGGCTAGCCCCCACTCTCCAAGCTTTCTGTATACAATTGAAGACATAGCTTTTTAGACAAGGCTTTGATCATGTTTAGAAATTCGAGGACCTTGAGATTATGTCACCGTGCACGTTATGAGAGTGATATTTATTGCAGTTTCTTTTGTTTCTGCTGCTATTGTTGCATTTTATTGATTTTAACCAGGGGTTTTTATTATGTTTATGTTAGTTGTTATTACTTTGTGTTTGTCTTTCCACTTTTTATATTTTCCTCTTTTGCACCTTGAGTGCTTGTGAGCCGCCCAAGTCTGTAGGGGAGATGGTGGCAGGGTACAAATAAAGTTGTTGCTATTGTTACTACTACTACTACTACTACTACTACTACTACTACTACTATAGCTGAATGGATTGCTTCTTGATGCCTGTAAGGGAATTTATCCAAAAATGCATATCTCTTCTGTATTGTCTAAGGCTTTAACGGCTGGAATCACTGGATTTTTGTAAGCTTTCTGGGTTGTATGGCCATGTTCCAGAAGCATTCTCTCCTGATGTTTCACCTGCATCTATGGCAGGCATCCATATGGAATGCCTGCCATAGATGCAGGCAAAACATTGGGAGACAATGCTTCTGGAACATGGCCATACAGACTGGAAAGCTCACAACAATCCATATATCTTCTCTTACATATGAACCAGTTGTCACCATGCCTTTCAACTCTATCATTTTTAAAGTTTTCCACACACACTCAAAATCTTAAAAATTTAGTTTTAAAATTGTATGAACTACGTATATAAATTCATTTTATATTCACCCACAAAATTCACCAGGTGGCAGGAGTATTTCACTAGATGGCAGCATCCTTTACAAAACAACGGTTGATTTTGAAACATAGAAAGGGATAGATATAGATATTGTTTCAGAGTAAGATATTTATACATTGATCTATTTAGAATGCATTGGCTTCATCAGCTATTTTTTAAGAAAAATCTGGTGTAGTGGGTTTTTTTTAACACAATGAAAGATTTGTAAAACAAAATTAGTCTAGTTTTAAATGTATACTCCCAAGATATACTTTTGATCTGTTTAGAAACAAACGAATAGCTTATGATAAAATATAACGTTTTACTTGCTGTTCCCCCAACTGGTGGAATATATCATGTTTCTGAAAATGAATATGTTTCACAGGACTTTGAAACAAGTAAAATTTTCTGAAATTCTCTCTTATTAAAAGGAAGCTAAATAGTAAATCTTGATATATTTATATTTACTGAGAAGTATATGTTTCACTTTTAAATAAAGGTGGTGCAATGGGTTAAAGTCTTGTGATGGCAGGACTGCTGATTGAAAGGTCAGTGGTTCGAATCCGGGGAGCAGGGTAAGCTCCCAGCTGTCAGCTCCAGCTTCTCATGCAGGGACATGAGAGAAGCCTCCCACAGGATGGTAAAACATTCGGGCATCCCCTGGGCAACGTCCTTGCAGACGGTCAATTCTCTCACACCAGAAGTGAATTGCAGTTTCTCAAGTTGCTCCTGACATGACTTTTTTTTTTTTTAAAAAAAAGGATTTGTGTGTGTGTGCATGCACACACGGCATACACATACAGTGTGATCCCATACATGCAGTCTTCTGGGGTAAGACCCACCAAATTCAGGCTGCACACCCAAGAAAGTTTGGACAGACTTACATCCACATGTTAAAATAAACATGCATATAAGACTGAACTATTTGTCTTTTAGCTTCAAGTTAGCAAGCATCTTATAAGCAAACCTAAAGCTAAGATATGAAATAATCCTTATTCCTACCTTCTCAAGCATTATGAATCTAGGACTATTGTGTTCAGCAATAGGCACAATTTGCTTCCCAAGTAGAGATAATACAATGCTTTAATTTTTGGAAATATTAGGTTTGTTTTTCATTAAGACTTTTAACACACTGAATCATCACACAATTTTCTTGGAAATTTCAAAGCAAAATCCTCACAAATATCCTGACGTGTATCACAGAGATCCAGTTTAATAAAACAAACATTAATATCAGCATTCACAAGCAGTGTCTTATAAAGACAATCTTAAAGATTGTGGTTTTGAAGAAGGTTAAGCAATAGCTTTATGATCACGCTGTCCAGGATTCCTCAAAATGGGAGGCGTACAATTCTTTCACTGCTGTACATTTCTCCCTTGGCCAAGAACAGAGGGGAAATGTCACAAATCTCTCATCAAAGGAGAGTTTGCTAGCTTAAGAACCGGTCCTCACTGTTCGGTTCTTTCAACACCATTCAGTAAGTTCAACAGGAGCTAAAATAATCAGCATCTCAGAGGACATTCATGTTTATGTACAGGGAGGGGGCATCTACTTTTTGTACTTTCCAAGTCACCAAGGTAAGAAAGCAAAAGCTATGCTAGTCACCTTAAAATAAAACTCTACACATGCTAGAAAAGAGGAAAGAAATTGAAAGGAACCATTGCCAAACCAAAACAAGCAATAAAGCTTTCATCAAGATGTTGCACTTGAACATACTATCCTGTCCAAGGGTAACAAGAGAAGAGAAATCCTTGAGACAACTTTTCCAACCATTGATAAAAACAGCATGATTCTATTATTGTCCTACCTTGGCAATCTGTAAAGGCTGCTTTTCGTCTTTTCCTCCTTGAAGTCTAAAGCCCCAAGGGGCCCCTCCAGTCATGGTAATGCAGATATAATCCCCGGTACCCATTTTCGTCCAGATGCAATCAAGCAGTATTCATTGGCAAAAGAAACTTTCTGTTTAGGTATCTCTCTCCTAAAAGATGGGGAATTTTGCTGAGCTCTTGAGTTTGCCTCCTGATGGTGAGGAATAGCAGGCTCAACTGTTGCGGCTGACACTGCCCGTGCACTGCTCTCTCCAACTCAGGCATTAGCAGAGAAGGGAAAGAGCTCTTCTCGGTCAGGGGAACAGCCCACTCTTTCGTCAGTGTGGCTCTGCTCAGCCCACCTTCATGGCAAAGCAAAATAAGCTCGAAGGAACACAAATGGAATGGACTGGTTGGAAAAAGTCTCTGTTTAAACCCAAGACAGCTAAAGCAAAACAGCACAGCAAAGGGCTTGTAAATCTCCCAGCTGTGATTGAAGACAGAGAGTTTACTTTTGTAAATGGGACCAGACTTGCTGCTAAGCTCTAATTGCAGACCAGTTTTGTATTCTCATAATCCAAACAACGTGTCGGAGGAAAAGAGGGTGGGTTTCACACCCCTTCCAAAGGATAATGTATGAAAGTGTCCTGCTCAGAAGGGATTAATAGCGGTGCTATTCACACATGTAGGGTGGTTGCAATTATCAAGTGACAGCCTGACGCTTTGAAGTTTTTTATCCCATATGCCTGACTTTCTCCATTATAGACTTTGCAAGGACATGGAAGCAGGAAACGTCTAGGATTGTCATAGATCAGAGTTTCTCAACCTGGAAGTCAGGACCTTGGGGAGGGGGGTTGCAAGGAGGTGTCAGAGGGGTTGCCAAAGACCATCAGAAAACACAGTATTTTTTGTTGGTCATGGGAGTTATGTGTGGGAAGTCTGGCCCAATTCTATCATTGGTGGAGTTCAGAATGCTCTTTGATTGTAGATGATCTATAAATCCCAGCAACTACAACTCCCAAATGTCAAGGTCTATTTTCCCCAAACTCCACCAGTGTTCACATTTGGGTATATTGAATATTTGTGCCAAGTTTGGTCTGGATCTATCATTGTTTGAGTCCACAATGTTCTCTGGATGTAGGTGAACTACAACTCCAAAACTCAAGATCAATGCCCACCAAACACTTCCAGTATTTTCTGTTGGTCATGGAAGTTCTGTTTGGTAGTATCAGGTATTTGTGCCAAATTTGGTCCAGTGAATGAAATACATCCTGCATATCGATATTTACATTACAATTCATAACAGTAGCAAAATTACAGATATGAAGTAGCAATGAAAATCATTTTATGGTTGGGGATCACCACAACATGAGGAACTGTATTAAGGGACTGCAACAGTAGGAAAGTTGAGAACCACTGTCATAGATGATGTGAAAGTTATAAAATGTATTTTAGTATCTAATAGGCCTGTGCGGTTTCGTTCGTTAATTTCGTTATTCGTAAAACATTCGTTATTTTTGGCATATACGAGGCGATATCAAAACACTTTTTCAAACCCGGAAGGGTTTAAAAATATCGAAGCGGCATCCCCCATCCTTTTAACGAGCTTCCGCCCGTTTCGGAAATTGGATGGAGGATGCTGGTGCCTGGGAGCCAATCCGGCGCTCCCAAGCACCCAAGCAGTGCACCGTGGCTGATTTTCATTGGCCGGCAAGGCCTTTAAAAGCGGCTCCGCGTGGCCGCAGAGCTCATTTGCGCGGAGGCGAGGGAGGAGAGAGGTCCGGGAGGGCTGCTTGCTTGTGACTTGCATTGTTGGAAAAAAGACTCTTCTTTGTTGGAAGACTCTTCTGTTGGTGTTGCTCTCGACTGCCCTGTCTTTTGGCTGTGTTAGCTGTTCATCAGGGCCATTTTTGGGTTGATTTTCCATTTTTGAATATTTTTAAAAAATACCTCTTTTATTCTTTAAAAAAATACAAAAAATATTCTAAAAAAAGAAAATACTCTTCTGTTGGTGTGTGCTCTCACTTGCCCTGTCTTTTGGCTGTGTTAGCTGTTCATCAGGGCCAGTTTTTGGTTAATTTTCCATTTTTGAATATTTTTAAAAATACCTGTCTTTTATTCTTTAAAAAAATACAAAAAATATTCTAAAAAAAGAAAATACTCTTCTGTTGGTGTGTGCTCTCACTTGCCCTGTCTCGTGGCTGTGTTAGCTGTTCATCAGGGCCAGTTTTTGGTTAAGTTTCCATTTTTGAATATTTTTCTAAAAATACCTGCCTTTTATTCTTAAAAAAAAACCAAAAATATTCTAAAAAAAGAAAAGACTCTTCTGTTGCTGTGTACTCTCATTTGCCCTGTCTCGTGGCTGTGTTTGGTACATCAGGGCCAGTTTTTGGTTAATTTTCCATTTTTGAATATTTCTTAAAAATACCTGTCTTTTATTCTTTAAAACAAAACAAAAAATATTCTAAAAAAAGAAAAGACTCTTCTGTTGCTGTGTGCTCTCGTTTGCCCTGTCTCGTGGCTGTGTTAGCTGTTCATCAGGGCCAGTTTTTGTTAATTTTCCATTTTTGAATATTTTCTAAAAATACCTTTCTTTTATTCTTAAAAAAAAAAAAATATTCTAAAAAAAGAAAAGACTCTTCTGTTGGTGTTTGCTCTCACTTGCCCTGTCTCGTGGCTGTCTTTGGTCCACATCGGGGCCAGTTTTTGGTTAAGTTTCCATTTTTGAATATTTTCTAAAAATACCTGCCTTTTATTCTTAAAAAAAACCCAAAATATTCCAAAAAAAGAAAATACTCTTCTGTTGGTGTGTGCTCTCACTTGCCCTGTCTCGTGGCTGTGTTAGCTGTTCATCAGGGCCAGTTTTTGGTTAAGTTTCCATTTTTGAATATTTTCTAAAAATACCTGCCTTTTATTGTTAAAAAAACCCCAAAATATTCCAGAAAAAGAAAATACTCTTCTGTTGGTGTGTGCTCTCGATTGCCCTGTCTCCTGCCTGTGTTAGCTCTACATCAGGGCCAGTTTTTGGTTAATTTTCCATTTCTGAATATTTTCAAAAATACCTGCCTTTTATTCTTAAAAAAATACAAAAAATATTCTAAAAAAGAAAAGACTCTTCTGTTGGTGTGTGCTCTCGTTTGTCCTGTCTCGTGGCTGTGTTTGGTCCACATCAGGGCCAGTTTTTGGTTAATTTTCCATTTCTGAATATTTTCTAAAAATACCTGCCTTTTATTCTTAAAAAATACAAAAATATTCTAAAAAAGAAAAGACTCTTCTGTTGGTGTGTGCTCTCGTTTGCCCTGTCTCGTGGCTGTGTTTGGTCCACATCAGGGCCAGTTTTGGGTTAATTTTCCATTTTTGAATATTTTCTAAAAATACCTGTCTTTTATTCTTAAAAAAATACAAATTATTCGCTTTAACGAATTGATTCGTTATTATTTTTAATATCGAATCGAATCGTATTTAATAACGACGTCTCGGAAGCCGCTTTGCGCATGCGCGATCGCGTCCGCCATTTTAACGAATCGATTCGTTATATCCTTAACGAATCTACCCCGCGCCAATAACGAAGCTTCGGAAATGTTTTTGCGCATGCGCGGGGGTCCGCCATCTTTACAAAATGTTTTGTAAATATTTACGAAATTTCGTAAATACCAAAACTTTTTTTGGGAAAGTTTTGTAATTATTTTAAATATCGAAACAAAAAAACACCCCAATTACAAATCGATTTTAGAAACAAATTTTTTCTTGATCAACCAGGCCTAAGGCAGTGGTTCCTAACCTGTGGTCCGTGGACCACCAGTGATCCGGAAAAACTAAAATATGGTCCATAACCTCACCGTTACTACACCATTGCAACAAGAGCGACTGGTCTCGCAAAATCCTCTTATAGTGGGTGAGGCTTATTAAATATAGTTTTCTGTGAGCAAGCAGATGGTGACTACTGCATGACATATGTGCTGTATCAGAAACTAGAGCTGATGTGGTCTATCCAACACAATTTTGTAAATCAGCACCCCAAATAAGCAAACCAAATCTAAAGTTGGCCAAAAAACTGATTCATAACCCTTTTGGTACTAATTTTGGACAGTGGTCCCTGGTCAAAAAAAGGTTGGAAACCACTGCTCTAAGCCATGCACAGATAGTCACTGGATAAAATAGCAGAAAAGGCAAATTCATATGGTTATTGTGTATCTTGAATTTTTTTCTGATGCTCATAAGATGAACTTGTCACAGGATTTTCTTGGCAATATTTGTTCAGATACGACTTGCCATTGCCTTCCTCTGAGGTTGAGATAGTGTGACTTGTCCAAGGTCATCCTCAGAAAACTCCCTGGAATTTGTCATCCTTCAAGAAACTTTGAAACTGGGGGTCCATTGACACTGTACCATTAATGCTGTTTAACAACACTTTAATAGCCATGATTCAATGGCCGAGAAGACTAAAGACCTTTTAAAACCAATTGGCAGGGAAGCATATTATACAGAAAGCAAGATCCCAGAGACAATTGGTTATGCCAGGATCAAGTAAGGTCCTTCCACACTACCCTTTTATTCCAGGATTCAATCCCAGATTATCTGTTTATTCCAAATTATCTGGCAGTGGGAACTCGTATATTTTAGTTTATTGCAGGATCTGATTCCAGATTATCTGATTTAAAGAGCAGTGTGGAAGGGTCCTAAGAAGAGTTTGAAGTAAGAGTCAATAACACAGATTGAAGGATTTATGATAGAAGGGACCAAAAATATCCCTATAAATAGTATAGAAATTATGAAAAAACACTCATAGTGACTAACTGGCACAGGGTGACAGTATCTCACACACATGATTTCTAGTTCACCCAACTTGACAGGAAACATGAGGCAGAAACACCTAGATTTCTATGCAAGTGGATATAACTCAAGTCTGAGGAATTTCATAAAGAAGCGAGCCAAATTGGCCATTTCAGTGGATCAATCAGTGGTACTGAGGATTGGCATTTGAAACAAGGGGATTTAACAGCTGGGTGCTTGACATCGGCTGTGTCTTGGCTGGTAATCAAAGTAAACCTTTTGGCAAAGCTAGTTGCTCAGCATGGGGAAGAGGTTTGTCAGGTGTGTACATCAATATCTATATATGTGAAAGAATGAATACCCTCTTATTGCTCCAGAGGATGAGTTGCATAATAGTGTTCCTTGTACAATAGGGCAATATAGTACAGTTGTGGGCTTTTCTGTACACAGTTGAAAGAAGAGTCATGACAGTGGTCCACAGAAAACTTTTATAGTATTATAATTTTTTCCTGTGCAATGTATTGTCGAAGGCTTTCATGGCCGGG